AATATTTTTGGGCTGACGCCATTAGTACGGCTTGTTATGTTTTGAATAGGGTGTTCATACGCCCTATTCTCAATAAGACTCCGTATGAACTTTTAAAAGGGCGGAAGCCAAATGTGTCTCACCTTCACGTCTTTGGTTGTAAGTGTTTCGTGTTAAACAACGGAAAAGAGAATCTAGGAAAATTTGACTCCAAGGCAGATGAAGGTATCTTTCTTAGATACTCTCAGTCAAGTAAAGCTTATAGAATACACAATATGAGATTACTTACAGTTGAAGAGTCTGTTCATGTCACATTTGATGAGTCTTATCCGAAAAGTGTCGGAAAAGTTAGTTCATTTCATGGTGCAGGTGTATCTTCTGAAGACATGCTCAAAGATGCTGAGACAAGAATTGATCAACCTGACCTAGTTAAAGCTGAGGAGGAAAAAGATCACCACCGTGAGGGGAATGAGGAAGTTCATTCGTCCAACACCGATGGTCTTCCTCTGGTATGAAAGTCTTCTAAAGACCATCCCGTTGACAATATTCTCGGTGATATCTCAAAGGGAGTGACAATTCGATCAAAGCTAAGTAATTTTTGTTATCATTTCGCTTTGTTTCTCAAGTAGAACCTAAAAACCCAAAAGAGACATTACTCGATGAACATTGGTTCCTATCAATGCAAGAGGAACTTAATTAGTTTAAAAGAAATAAGGTTTGGGACCTTTTCCCTCCTCCGCGAGACCATCGAGTAATTGGCACTCGATGGGTGTTTAGGAATAAACTAGACAAAAACGGAGTTATAACTCGCAATAAGGTGCGTTTAGTCGCGCATAGGTATAACCAAGAGGAAGGAATCGACTATGAGGAAACTTATGCACCGGTTGCCCGACACGAGGAGATACGCCTTCTACTTGCCTTCACTTGTGCGAAAGATTTTAAACTATTTCAGATGGATGTAAAAAGTGTGTTCCTCAATGGATATATAAATGAAGAGGTTTATGTTGCCCAACCTCCCAGGTTTGAATCCCATGAGTATCCTGATCATGTATACAAATTAAAACATGCTTTGTATGGACTCAAACAAGCCTCTAGGGCTTGATATGACCGTCTTAGCAAATTTCTTCTTGACCAAGGGTACTCAAGAGGAAAGGTTGACACAACCCTTTTCATTAAACGTCAAGGAAAACACTTAATCTTGGTACAAATATATGTTGATGATATTATTTTTGGATCAAAAAACATGAATTTGGTAAGGAAGTTTTCTAGATTAATGCAGGGAGAATTCGAGATGAGCATGATGAGGGAGCTCAACTATTTCCTCGGATTGCAAATCAAACAACTGAAAGAAGGTACATTTGTGAGTCAGACAAAATATTGCCTTGAGCTTCTCAAGCGTTTTGACATGGCAAACTCCAAGGCTATGACACTTAAATGCCTACGTGTGAGAATCTTAACCGAGACGAAAATGGTAAGGATGTAGAGGTGAAAAAGTATCGAGGTATGATTGGATATCTCATCTATCTTACTGCTTCTAGACCCGACATTATGTTTAGTGTCTGTATATGTGCAAGGTATCAATTATGTCCCAAAGAATCTCACTTAAAAGCGGTAAAGCACATACTTAGATACCTCTCTAGTACTCCAAAGTACGGGCTTTGGTATTCTAAGGGTAATGATTGCTCTTTGGTTGGCTTTTCCGAATCATGTGAAGCATTGCATACATAATATGCTAAATAAGATGGTGGATGATTTTGTCTGGCAGATTTGTGAAATTTTGGTGGATGTACATGTGTAACATTAGGTAATGTTAAGTGCGTGTGGTCAATGAATGGGTCTTGGGTGATTGTAGACTCGGTAGGGGGAAAAGTAGGTAATGGTGAGGGTGTATGGTCAATTTTTTATTCTTGGATAGTTGTGGACTTAGTAGGTTTTGAAATTGGAATTGAAGTATTTTTTGTGGTTGATGGTTTCATGTGAGAATGGTAAGATCAAGTTGGTGGTTTGGAAGTGGGTTTATAAGGTAGGATATTTTCATGATGTTTTGTGTTCCTAGAGACAAAGATTTATTTGTTATTGAGATCAAAGAGAATGCAGCCTTTCATGCCAGGTTTGAAACCTAAAAAAACACATTTTCTGCCTCTTGGATCTAGTTTGGTTGTGTGTGAGTACAAGGTGGATGCATAAACTAATGAGCCAAAAACTTTTAAAGTATGTAAATCGGGTATTGTTTAATGCATTAGGAAATAAGGTGATGTGTTATTAAGGAGAGGACTAGCTACTCTATTCATAATAAACACAACATGAGAAACAACATAAGTAGGTTTGAATGAAAAATCAAGGCTCTTCCTATGTTTAGGATTTGTTGGTGTTTCCTTTTCACCCTGCCATTTTTTTGGGGGGATTCAACAGCTAGTTTGATGGATTATGCCTTTAGATAGGTAAAATTGAGGCATTAAAAACTCCTAACCATTATCAGTTCTTATGATTTTGACAAGTATGTTGTATTATTTGTGTATCAAGTGAACAAAATTCGATTTGTTGTCTAACTTCAGATTTTAATTTCATAAGTGTAAGCCATGTATATCTACTATAGTCATCAATAGAAGTAAGTAAATATGAAAAACCATGAATGGATTTAATAGCAATAGAGCCCCATATATAAAAAAGAATTAGATAAAAAGGTTTGACAACTTTATTGAAAATTCTTTGGTAAGGTAAATTCCTATGTTTAGCTAAGTGGAAAATATCACAAATGCCTTTTTGATCTACAACAATGAAAGGAAAATCAGAATGTAACATAGCCATTCTAGAGCTAGAAAGATGTACCCTAACCTAAAATGCCATAAGGCTTAGTTTGGTATGGTGATAGCATTGGAAACAGAAATACCAGCATCAGTTGGCAACATCTTATTTGTCAAAGTTAAGTTGTACAATCCTTCAATGAAGTCAGCAGAACTAATCATCTTCAGTGACTGAGGCTCCAGAATTAAACATTGAGATTTTGTGAAATTTACAATACAATGTAAATCAAGACAGAGTTTTGAAACTGAAATTAAATTCAGTGAAAATTGAGGTACATAAAGAACACTTTGGCTGAAAATTTCAAATGTAAAATAGATGGTACCTAGTTATTTAGCTATGGAAAAATTACCATTAGGTAACCTAATATTCACAGGTTTAATGTCATGAAATGGTGAAATCAATGAAGGGAACCACAAATGTGATCACTAGCTCTCAAATCTATGATCCAAGAGCCAAAAGTGGAATTGTTTAGACAAAATGAAGTAGACATATTACATGTATTAGCAGCTGATTGATGGAATGAGCTCACCTAATTAGAAGCATAAGCATTATTGGATTGTTTGCTAACATTAGAAGTTTGAAGAAATGCCACAAGATTTTGGTACTGCTCAGTAGTAAGTTGTGGTGGGGTTGGTGATTGGTTTGAGAATCATAACTTGCATCAGGATGTGAGTTATCTGTGTAATCAAAATTAGCATTGTGAGAATTTAAGCTTGAATTGTGCTGCAAATGAGGAGGCACACCATGCTTACGGTAACATGTGTCAATTGTGTGGCCTGATTTCCTGCAAAATGTGCAGGTTTTCGTCCATATTTCTTGAAATGGGGTTTCCTATTTTCCGCTACACTGGCAAGAATCTTAGATTCATCATCTAGAGAAGCAGAAATGGGAGAAATTTGGCGTTCATGTTGAATAACCATGGAGAAAATCTAGTTTAAAGTAGGCAACATATCAAGTAGTAGGATCTGTGACTTAACCACAATGAATTCTTCATTCAATCCAGTAAAAAAACAAATAATATACAACAGATTGTGATTAGACCTAGCACTACGCATAGCATCACAAGAACAACGAATATGACAACTACAACTTGGTATAGGCATATACATTTCCAATTCCTCCCAAAGAATTTTGAGCTGAGAAAAGAATTCAGTTACCGTTCGACTATCTTGCTTCAAAGAATAGATCTTTTGCTACAATTCAGATATTCGAACCAAGTCACCTTGTGTAAATCATTCTTTCAGGTCGTTCCAAACATCGATGGTGTTTTCCATGAACACGATTAATTGACCAATAGATTCTGATACAGAACGCATAATCCAAGAGTGAACCAACATATTACAGCGAGTCCAAGTACGAAAGTTTGGTTCAAAAGGATCTGTGGGAACCGAAATCATGTCATCAACGAAATCTAACTTCATCTTGCCACTAAGAGCTATGCGCATTGATCACGCAAAATTGTGGTAGTTGGATCCATTCGGAACAGGAGTGATGAAGACTGAAGAAGGGTCGTCACTGGAATGAACATAATAAGGACTTGTGGAATCCGAAACGGGATCAGAGGAGCTGAAATTGGTGCTAGAATTTGTGCGAGAAGGAGGAGCCATGGATTCACAGGCTCAATGATACCATATTGCAAGAACTATAACCACATTGCAAAAGATAAAAGAAAGAGAAAAAGAATCCATAACTGCAATGTAACAGAAAAATAACAAACTGAATTTGGAGAAGATAAATGAATGTATATTATTGATTCATCTTGAATGAATTATAAAGTGTGAAGATAAGAGCTTTTTATACACTAATACATGTGTGATATTAAAACTCAAACTACAGCCATTAGATCAATTTATGATTAAACTAATCTCAACCATTAGATTAACTAGTAGAATTATTTCAATACAAAAATCAAATATAAACTAAATATGATATCATAAATAGAATATAAAATATATATATTAAAAAAAAAGGACAGAATGATTATAAAATCCAAATAAATGTAACATGACTACATGAGAGCATCCTGGCTTTTGTGAACATGGGTGGAATAGAATCTGTTGACCACGTTGCTGACGCAATATGCCGTCACCCACAGTAGCTGGTGACGCAATAGCATAACTGCCGTTGACGTTAGAGTCGTCTTCCCTTTGTTTTTATATTTCCATCATTGCCCTTTTCTCTCTTCTCCCTCTCCTTCTTCTTCTCTCTCTCTAACCATGTACCAAGCAATTCCTTATAGAGCATGTGTCTCCACAGTCACACGCGACCTTCCAATCACCGGAGGCGTCCCCGAAACCAACGTAATCACAATGGTTTCAGAGAACGCAGTTATTATCATCGGTACACGTGACTGCTGTCTCTGCCACGTCGTCAAAAGGTTGTTACAAGGTCTCGGAGTCAACCCTCCTGTCTACGAGGTTGATCAAGACCGTGAAACTGCCGTCGTTGCACAGCTGTCAACACACGCTTCCGCCACCGAAACGGTTCAGTTCCCGGCGGTGTTTGTCGGCGGGAAGCTGCTTGGAGGGCTGGAAAGAGTCATGGCTAGTCATATTTCAGGTGAATTGGTTCCGATATTAAAAGATGCTGGTGCTTTGTGGCTTTGACATGGTTCTTTCTTAGTTTTCTTACCAATTTTGCTTGTTTTTGTTTATTATTATTATTATTATTATAAATTTCTTTTTTAAGATTTTTGCTTGTGGGTTGGAAAGAGATAGTACAGTTCTATCTTTGTGTTAAACATAAAATTTGTATATCATGTTTCAATTAGTTGATGGTACGAACAAAGTTCATATTGGCTTGGATCAAAAGATGTTTTTTTACTCGATATCGCGAGTTTGAACTTGATACTGCTGCACATCTATCAATTGCATTGGTTTAAGGGAACAGATCCGAGATGTTATGATCTAATTAAATGTTGAATGAATTAAAAATATTTTTTATTTTGTATAAGAAGAGATAACATATCAGCGATTTAATAAAATTATAAATTGCTATAAACTAATAATTATGCTTCAAAAATGTCTTCTCATATCACTTAATGGAATGATACCATAATTTAAGTCCTACACGTTATCCTTGTTCGAAAACCTGACCAAGTCAAATACACGCACATTTCACACGTGGTTCAATAATACAATGTAAATCATAATTACAAGCATTGGTTTTAGAATGTTTTTAGGATTGTTTGATGCATCAATATCAATTGATAACTTTATTGAAGTTGGCCGGTAAGAGTTGAACTTGGATTGTTTCTTTGTAATTTATTTTTATTTTTTTCTTTTCTTTTCTTTGAGTCTTTTTTTATTCGGATTTGAGGGGAATGTACAAAGGTATTAATGTCATGTAATAATGATAATAAAATGTTTGTATACTGCGGACTTGTTTAGAGTGACTCTTGAATTGTCAGTTATCTTTTGATTTATCTAGTGTAACCTTAAGTGCGTAAATCTTTTTTAATTGGACTATTTCATTCTCAGTAATAGTTGGGCAATTCGTTCTCGTAAAGTAAACTCTCCTACAATGTACCAATCCCTATGCATGAGACCCAATCGAGGCGAGATGCTTAAGAAGAAGGTCGTTCGGGCAATCTGACCATTTGTAGATGGAAAAGACTCTAAATCTGAATACCACAATATCCCATGATGCATACAAACGTTCAAGATGTACACATTATCCCAAACATAAGGCATGAAGGGGCGAAGTGCTTAAGAGTAGCGTCATCTAGACAAACTTTATCGTTTTATTTTGGTCTGACTACAAATATAGTTGTCTTGGTTCTTTGATCTACCAAGCTCTTATACGAAGTCCTATATTGTTATCCTTCTTAGTCTAAAATATCACCTCATTTTAGGGTAATTCGTGCTCACCAGGATATGCTCTTTAATCCTTCTTCCTTTCTTACTAAGAGCAGTGTAGGTCAAAATCAATGCTTATTTATGATGGCTTAACGTTTAATTCTCCGCCCATGGGGTTCTTATGGACGGCGTGCCAACTCAATAGGAGGTATGTGTCTGCATTTGGACCTTCGGGCTTCAGTCCATCAGGAAACGCTTTAATGCATCATAATTACTTTTATTGGGACTTGTAACGTTTCGATAGTCATCATTGCGTCATATTATTATGCTTTTGATTTTTCACCTAGGAGACATTTGGGTTGTAATATGTTTATTCTTTTTTCATATCTTTGGCCACACTCCACTTCACGATCATTGCGTAACTGCGCCTTAGCACACAGATCAACAACCTCATGACGCAACACGTTGAACTCATAGTCAACGTTGTTGCAATGATGATAAGCATAACCTACAAAAGAAGAAGCATAAGGCATATATAGGGGATAGGTTGGCTAAGGAAGTGTGCCCGCAGATACTGCGAGGGATAACGCTCGGACGGTGGGGTATGGTATGGTGGAATTGGAGAGATTCACTCTCTACGATCCATCTCTACATCAATGTCACCACCCTTATCGGTAACAATTTGGATTGTGTCCTCATTCTCGCTATCAAAAGTGTCAAAAATCCAATTTGTCTCATCTCGCACATCAGTGCGCTTGGGCAAGGCAGAATAATACTTTTAATCATAACAAGATGAATCATCATATAATATTTCCCGGGACTCTTATTCTTAATTATTCGTTGCATCTGACATGAGAAAATGTTGAGCGTAATGCTACCTGAGATGGATGAAGTGTGGCAACTACAGCCTCCAAGCCCATAGCAAGCGCAATGGAGGTAATCACTCCTCCAATGACAATGTTTCCCCACTTAGCCTTAAAAATTGTTTTCATATGAGCGAGAACAAATATCGTCGAATTTACTAGACTAGGCTTAAAAACACAATCTATGAAAAACAAGTCCTTCATATTCACGCTCTCATTGTCCCCGCGACCAAAATTAGTGTTAGCTAAAATTTTCTGAAAGTAACTGATCGCGGAGTTATAGATGCATGAAGACTTCTTCTCTTCCATATCATGAGTGATATCCCCTGTCAGCCTTTGCCATAAGAGGCTAAACTCATGTGTAAAAGGTCCCACCAAGGGGAGCTCGTATGTGATGTCGAGTGCCGATGAAAACTATAGTATACCGGCTATTTGGTCCTGGATAAATATGTAATCATGGTTAAACACTTGAAACCTAACAATCCTAACAGAGTTATGGCTCAAGGGGCGAGGTTCATAACTGAAGGAGCTGAGAAACTCAAGTGTGAGTCTCTCATAGGTAGGATGTCGCAGAGTTATAAAATGGTTCCAACCAATTATATCTAGCATAAAATATACACTATCATATAAACCTAAGACTCTTAGGCAAGAATTGTCGACATACGTGGTGTTTAATGTTTGTTTTTTATTAGCTACCTAAAACATGTTTTGTTGGTTTAAGTCGATATTCGAAAAGTACTTGTCAATACTAGATCCAAGTTTTTCATTTACTAGATGCTAAACTCTTGAGATAGGTTTAGGTTTAGTATCCACATGAACTGCCAAAATATAATGTTATCGTGTTGGATAATATGCTTAGAGATTATCTATTAAAGAATATGATTGGTCACATGTTGTTGACTCAGACATGAGCTATTACGTAGGAAAATGAGTGGTAATATTAATAAGTGTTTAAAATTTCACATGAGTTATGTACTTATATGTGTGTAGTAATTCTGTTTTGGAAATTGTTGAAAGTTCCTTCATTGTTGAGTTTTGAAGTTTCGCGTCGGAAGTATGAATTTGATGATGATTCATTGTTAATCCATGAGTAAAACATAGCATAATCGAGTTTTAGGATGTTATTTTGATATAAAATTGGGTCTAGAGTGATGGGGGTTAGTGGTATAGACTTTGACGTGAAAATCTGTGGTGAAAGTGCTTTTAAAAAAAATGATTTTTGGGGTTCAAAACAGTGTGTGTCGACCGCTAGAACTCCCTAGGTCAACCTGAGGTCACCCAAATGTAATACTATGGAAATTTGAACAGTATGCATCGACTCATAGGCCTTTCATAGACCTAAGTACCCTGCTCGTCAACCCTGGGGTCGACTCATAGGCAGAAAAACGCCAAGAACGGTTTCGGTCATAACGTTTTAACCGTTAATCCAAATGATGAATCGTTCAAAGCGTTGGAAAGCTAATGAAAAGAACGTTAGCATGGTATAATTAGATGATTCATTTTTCTAATATTTTTATGTTTAATATATTGAAGTTTACGATTATTACTTGTTGTGCATGTAAAGAAATACCGTTGTAAATGGCGAAACTTGAATATTGTTATAAAGAGGTTGTTTTGTAGTAGTATTGGTGTAAAATGAGCATGTTTGCTGATGTCACTAAGATTGCATAATATGTGTGTGTGTGTGTGTGTGTGTGTGTGTGTGTGTGTGTGTGTGTTTATACAGTATGAGATACATTTTTATGCTTGTTGGCCAATTTGGGCGGTGTACAATAACCATGGTGGTGGATTATTGTACACGATAGTGTTGGTGTTGTTTTATGCATAAATAGTTGCATTGCATACATTTGAGGACAGATGGTCCGTTGTTGGTGAGCCTAAAGTTGTTGATTTGGAGATGATGGATCAGTGAGTGGTTATGATCCTAGGAGGTGGGGATCAAAACAGTGAATCTGAGTGTTCACAAAAATTGGTACCACATGCATACGCATTAAGTCGGGTGTGAGTCTCATTGCATTATATGTCATGTATATTGCTAAGTTGTTAAATACGTGATGATGGGTGATTAATTGATTTGTATTGTGTGATTTGTTATTTGTTTAGTGAATAATTGGTGATGATATCGTTGGATGATTGATGTGAGATGTTAGTTGAATTATTTTTGTGCTACTTAATGAATGTTATTTAACATGTTTTCCTTTATAATATCATGATATCCCACCCCTTCTGTTTGAATAATTCCTCCATGTGAGCAATATGCAGATACTACGCAATAGGATTCATGTGTGAGTTGAAGATAGAGTCTCCTTATCTCTTCTCTATGGTTGGTATATGCTCTGATTGTAACACTAGGGAGTCTGTTAGATGCCTAATATTGCTTATTTGAGCTATCAGATGTGGGCATCTTTCACTCCGTTTTGTCCAAAAAATGTCAAAATCGCCATTGGTTTTGTTTAAGTTGCAATATTTTGTGAAATGCTCTTGGTCCCTTTGATTTGTGTGTTATTGTGCAGTATTTAGGCATGAAAGAGTAGAATTGGAAGACACAAGAAAGATGACAAAGGAATCAAGAAAGAAGGCAAGTAAAAGCAAGCTCGCTAGCACATTCGCTAGGCGAGTAAGGTAGCAAGTTGTTCACTAGGCGAGCTCGTAGTGAGCTGCTAGCGAACACTCCTAGACTTGGATAGAATCAAATTGGTCATATTTCGCCAGGAGCGAGGAAGGTAGCGAACTACTCGCTAGGCGAGCTCGTAGCGAGCTTCTAGAGAGTGCTTCCAGAATCAAAATGCCCAGAACTCGCTGGAGCGAAGGAGGTCACGAAGGGCTCCCTAGGCGAACCATTCTACTCGCCTAGCGAGCAAGACAGGACAGCACATATTTCTTCCTATAAGTAGCAAGTGCCACTTTTGTAAAAATATCTTCTTTTCTTTTTGCTATTTCTTTTTC